GGTGGGTCACCAACAGGTCACGGCGGGCCCGTGCTGGTGTTGGGGGGGGAGGGTGGGGGGGGGGGTGGAGCATCACCAGTCAGACACAGCGTACATGGATAGTCCAAGCTGGACTTGGGAAACAGGGGTCCGTTTGCCGAACATCCGCCGTAGGCAATTGCGTCAGCGGTTGTATGATGCAGACCGGATGGAAGGAACGGCGCTGACGCAGACCAGACAGAAGGAGCACTCTCTTGTTGTACCCCGCCGGAAACCTCATCAACACGGTTAACATGGGTCTTTAATAAATCAGCAACCACGTGATGAATCTAAATCTGGGTCAGAGACATTGCACATAAAGCTGAAGAATTCCTGCAGGATCTCATCCTTGCCTTTTATATCGAAATGGCAGCTTATGTCCACCTTCTGTGCGTAGTCTCAGCCGAGAAAAAGCGCCGTTTGATACAAGCAGACAAGTAACAACGAGTCTAGGAGCCAAATCATGACGAGGTGAAAGGAGGTCAGGTTTTCATTCTAAGCGGCCCATGATCCAGCAGCCAGGATTGTTTCAGTTTGTTCGTTGAGGTCTGTGACTCACAAACCGCGCAATTTACTTCAAACGCTAAGAGTACAAATCGCTGTGGACTGCATGCGCAATAAAACGAGGGGATGAAAGCCAGTCAAACATGTAAACTAACAGGCCCAGACCCAAGTGTCAAATAATGGTGCAAACGTATAAAACCACTTGCGGCGTTAGCCCTTCATCGCGGCAGCCATAATGATAAGCTATTACAATGGCCACAACAGGCAAACCACAGAGCCTAATTCCAGTCATTAGCAGCGTCTTAAGGCCACTCGGTAGCCTACAGCTCTGACGTTTCTCTTGTACGCAGCAAAAATTTACCATTGTCCCACTTATCACTGATACCCAAGCATTGTTGACAGTGGCGGCGTGTGTCAGGGGTGGTAGCGCGTCAGGGGCAATCTGCACTCATCTTTTAAAGTGAGAGCAAAGCTATCTTTCTCCCTCCATGATTTCAGATGGCCCAAAAGCCCTTCGGGTACGTCGCGGTATTCGCTTATTGTGCTACCAAGGCAAGCATAGAGGGTCCATGTATGGTCCGGAAAGGGCCTATCTTATACTCACAAGAGAATCTTTTCGTGTCCAAAAAGGGCCCATTTTGGGCTGCAAATGTTCATTTCAATACGAGAAAACACTCATAAGGCACAAAACAAAAATCTCGCATTCCGAATGCCCCGGAGCGGAGCGTGATGTTTCTTCTCAGGCGAATTACTCCGTCGATGCAAATGGGTCTGGGTACGGTGCAGCGCCGTGCTTGCGAGTGACTGATGACCTAGGACGAGTGCACTGTTCATTCCTGGCTGGAAAGACACGGGCTGCCCCCTAAACACTGTCACGATTCCCGTTTGAAGCTGACAGCGGTCACTGTTGCTGTCCGCCTGGATGCCCGACTGAGAAGAGAGCTGGACATTCCTGTCGACAGCTCTACGTTCTGGACTGGATAACACGACAGTGCTTCGCTTTATCAACAACAGAACAATCCGGTTACAAGGATACGTGGACCAACAGAGTTCAAGTTATGCATGAACGCTCCGATCCAAAGCGGTGGAGATATGTTGGCAGCGCATCAAACCCAGCAGACGAAGCGTCCCGTAGAGTTCGCGTGGGAAAGCTCTTCGAGCCTTCACGATGGACGACAGGCCCGAGTTTGTTTGGAAAAGTGAAGACCACTGGCTGCATAACATGAAGGTGAAAATGCAACTGGACCTAAAAGACCCAGAAGGTAAAGATCTGCCATTATTTCGGCCGCTAAAGCCTCGGAAAAAGCCCTACGCAAAGACTGCTGTTTAAATACCTCTGTTGGTATCAGTTGAAGCGAGCCATGGCCTTCATGCTGCGCGTTGAAACACCATTTGAAAGCCAGAGAGAACCAAAGGACTTTGCAGAAACCATTTGCAGTAAGTGAAATCGTCGTAAGTCGAGCTCTAGCCGAGCAGAGCTCGAGAGGCAGCAAGGAACGCCAGGCTTGTTCTCGCCAGAGGAAATCGCGGAAGCAGAGACAGTCATCATAAAATATGTCCTGGCACAAAACTATCAAAGCGAAATAAACGCACTCAAAAAGAATCAAGAGAGAAAGAAACCTGGGACCAAGCGTCCAAGTCCCATACACTGAATGGACCTAACTCTATATGATGTCCTGAGAGTGGGTCG